GTTGCTTATTTTCGGAACCTATATAAAACAGGTGTTGCTTATTTTCGGGGGTTGCTTATTTTCGGAAGAATACGGTATATCACAAAAAAATTTATAGAAACTGATTTTATAGCAAATAATATTATATTTTAAATTTGTGATAATCTAAATAATAATCATCAAAAAGTTAAAATGAAAGCAAGACAAATTAAAGATATTTATGGAAAATTTTCTGAAATCTTTAAAGAAGCATTTAAGAAAGCAATTGATAATGAAGATTTTAATGAGGAATTAATCCAGTTTCATATTGATAAGAATTTTATTGAAAAAATTCTTCTATCAGAATTTAAAAAGCATAAGGACTGAATAGAAAACTAATATGACAAGATGCACTAATACAAGATACTTATAATACCAAGAAGTAAAACATCAAAATGAAAAGTAACTTGTAAAAGATGTCATAGAATAGGTTATTTTGCAAAAACTTGTATTATTTAATTGTGATTTATTCTTATTTGAATAATTTCATTGAGATATTATTAATTATGAATTATAATAGTAATTTGAGCCCAACAACCTTTGATTATCAACTTTACTTTAAATATTTATCTGTATTATTAAAAAATAAAATATATTATAATGCTCATAACTCTTTTACAAGTAAAAATAGTTCGTCATTTTATTTTTTAAAAAAGTAAATTATCAGAAGTTTGGGTTGTATCACTATCAGACAACTCCAGCAAAGACTGGTTTGTCACATTTTGATTGGTTAAAAATTTAGTAGTTGATAAATAAAAAATTACCCTTAATAAAATTTTATATGTTTTGATTGACATAATAATTAAAGTATTTTACAGAATTTCGGAGTTTAGTTTAGGAAATAAATAAAATTTAAATTAATTATATATAAGTTTCGGCTAGCATCATTAATCATTAATGTAAACTAATAATGATGTAACAAATCAATAAATCACTAGTATATAAAAAGCCATCTTAGGTTCTTATAGTTATTCATTCTTGATAGTCTAAATTATTATTCACTTATAGTGGATTTAGAAGACAGAAGTAATGATCTAAGAAGAAAGATTATGTTTACGACAGAAAAGTGGTAATTTTTGTTCTTAAAAAGTGACCAATAACGTGAAAAAGAAATATGACATATTCTGTCCAATCAATTGCGATTGATTAGTTTTATATAGTGAAAAATGAAGTATTATTATAAAGGGATTTCACGTTTTTTTTTTTTGACAAACTTCAATATTCTTACATTAAATGTATTTGACTTGAAACATTTGAATTTATTTATTGAATAAAACAACATAAAACAACAGAAAACATCAATTTTAAAGAATAAAAAAAATTGGAAAAAAGAGAAAAGATTTATCAAAGTTAATTACAAGTTGACAAAAGACGATTCCAAAATCATTTCTTGCCGCAAGTACATTCTGATGGTTTACATTTACAATCGCTACAAGTACACGCTCTAAAAAAAAGAATAAAAAATCAAATAAATTTTATTCGTGTAAAATACAATATTTAATTTGAAACTCTCTTTGATACATACTCATTACCGCATGCTTTGGGTTTGCCAGAAGATTGACCATGTTCAGTTTCTTTGATTCCTGGTTTAGTAGAAGTGGTTGTTTCTTTATTTGATTTTCCACAAGTACAATTTTCTACACATTTACAAGTCGTTCCACATTCGCAAGTACAAGTTCCTTTACAATCACAATTTTTACAAATTTGTTCTTTTGAAGACATGTTTCAAGAAAATTTTGATCTTAAAAGTTGATTTTGGTTTTTTGATTTGGGGTTTTTTTATAAAAAAAAAAAAAAAAAAAAAATGTTCAGAAGTTGACCTTATTTATAATAATGTGTTGTAATGTTACATATGGGAATTTGAGAAGATTGTGCCATTGGCTGAATACGTTATTCTTAACGCCTTACCATCAAATATTCCATACCAGTTTAGTAATTTTCTCACTGTCATATTTATTTAACGCCCAACTGATCACATAATTATATCATGGGTTATTTTACATAAACTTATTGAAAACTTTATTTTATTAATTATTTTAAAGAAAAAAAGAATCGATTTTCAAACGTGAAAAAAATTGAAGCTTTTTTAGACTACCAACACTATTTTTGATTTTTTATTTGCACCCGAGAAATTTTTTTCGTCAGTACGATAATTTTGAGTCAAGGATTGATTTTATTCGTTGTTTAAAAGAGGATGGAGGTACCAATAGACGAATGTTTAATAATATACGGATTCCAATACCTAATAATGCTGCACAACAAGTCATTATAATTCCTAAAGGAAAATTTTTTTGATATCATTAGGAATTTTTATTACTTTCGCTCGACTATATAAATTATAATAACCTCTTGATGACGTTACTGGTTGTGTGGTTACATTCTTTAAATATATAAAAATTTCGAAAGTCATTTTTGATGTTAGTCTCCAAGGTTGATCGTTACCTTTTAAAGATCAACACGCCAATTGATAATGAAATTATCACATGTCATCATTTCATGTCATAGTGACGCAAAAAATATTTTTTTTTATTCAACTGATTTTTGGTACTTTGATAGAAGAAACAAAAGAAAATTACTTTTTTAGTATTGTACAAATGATCAAGTTTTAACAATTATAAAAAATCATTTTGTGTTAAACGAAACTTTTTTTAAACAAAAACATGTTAAATTAAAATATATATACGAATTAAATTTTTTTTTCACTTATTATTTTTACTTATTGATCCATTTCAATTCAAATTATTATATTATCAATTAAAATCAAAGAATTACCTGAATCTCTTATTGCAAATGCAACAAGCGTGTTACAAATAATGGTTTATCCCAAGGGAGAGATTTTATCACAATTTTTACAAAAAAAAGCAATGGAATTTATTAAAAATACAATTTATAAAGAAGGTTCAGTATTCAAAAAAAAAAAAAATACAATTACTTTAAAATGAAAATAAAAAATTACAGAATAATGAGAAGAAGAAATTAAACAGGTTCATAGTTTATCAATAAAAGTCGCAAAATCAAAAATTACAAATCAAAATATATTTCTAAACTTCGATCTATTATTCAAAAAGCAAAAAAAATTATATCAAATAACCTGCAAAAAAAACTCTCTAAAATTAATAAAAAAGAATATTGTAAAACTAACAACTAATATAAGTTTAATTAGAGGAATTCTTATATCAGCTATGGCAGAATGCAAAAAAAATTATATCTTGATGGAATAAAGAACTTGTTAGATTAGCTAATAATACTAAATCAAATTTTTTTGGATATGAAATTATGGTTGATAAAAGTATGTGTGGTGAACAAAAATTAAAATTAATTTGTATAGCTTATTAGAAATTTAATTTTAAATAGACCAACAGTTATGACTTTAGGAATAGTTAATATTTTATGATGTAAAACACAAAAATTTTAGAAATTTGTAATAGATACTTTTTAGATTTAACAAAAAATTAATTTTTGATTAATTGATAATACTCTATATATATTATCTTTAGGACAAAAATTTAATTCTTTTATTGATGCAAATTCATATGAATTATATGTAATATATATTTCAATAATGATTTGCTTTTAAAAAAATTACATTACCTTCCGATTTATCTTTAAAAGAGTATCCTTTTAATGTTTTCAATTTAGCATTTTATTTATATAATGAATATAATACGAGTGATAAAAATATATCATTTAATATAAATACAAATATTATTAAGCAATTATATAAAATTATTTTAAATTATAATTTAAAAAAATTATCAACAACCTATTTGATAACGTTGGATTTATGAATTAAAAATAACATAGCAATATTTTAAGTGATTATTAAACCATTGGTAATTTGCTTCTTAAATTATTCAGAAATTAAAAAAAATGGTCAAATGTGATTAATTTAGTGTAATCTGATTTATAATTTTTTAATTTCTTATAATATAATCCTTCAAATTTATCAAGTAAATAGCATTAAATTACTTTTAACTAATAATTATACTCATGAAATATTAAATCAAATATGATATTAATTAATAAAGTAAAAAACGTTATTATATAGTGCTCTATAGATTATTCCCTTTAAAAAATACCTCCAATTAAGTATTATATTAATTATGCAGCTCAAAATTCAAAATGTATCTGAATACAATATGTTAATTTAATTTAAAAATATTGCATTAATAGTAAACTTTGCAAATTAGCATAAAAACATATAATTTTTAGAATGCTTTTATTTTTTATTTCAAATTCTTAAATTTTTATACTTTTAATTTCCTGATTATTTATTTCATAACTTAAGTAAATATAATTGCTATTATTATTAATATTACATTCTATAATTTATCATAATCAAATATAAATATTCTTTACTTCAATCCTATACATTATAAATTCTACAACATTTGAATAAATAATAAATTAAAGAAGGATCTATAGCATCTTATGCATTCTTAACTTATTAAGCAACTAATTATAAGCAAATTTTTGAATATAACCACTTTATTACTTTAGTTATTCAACCCTATAAATAATCTGTATAGAAAAGTATATAGAAATAATATGTTTAAAAAATGTATAATATGTAGAAAAATAGTATAATAAATTTGTAAATATTTCTGTATACTAGATACTAAAAATCATTTTTTTTTGTATGCAGAAAAATACAGAATTTATATGTCTAATCAGTATATTGTATACTTTTACTAGAATTTTATACATCTAATTAATATATTATATGTTATTTTTGGTTGAATTTTAATATATAAACATTAAATTATATAATTCTGATTGTAATTTTTATACATTTAATCATTAAATAAATATATTTTGAAATTAAAAATTTTTATTAAAAAAAAATAAAATAAAAATAAAAAAGAAATTTCATTTATTTTATATAAATTAATTAATTATAATATTAAATAAGAATTTTACAATTTAAAATTAAAATTTAAATATAAAATATAAAATATTTACCTGATTCTTCTGATTTCTTGATTTTTTAAATTATTATTATAATATTATATTATATATATTATTTCATGATAAAATATTAAAAATAAATATAAAAATTACTTTTTTTGAAATAACTTTAATGGTGAAGGTAGCAACTTTGAGGGTAGTAACAACTTTATTAGTGATAGCTTTGGAAATGAAAGTAATAGCAACTTTGAAAAGCAGTAGCAACTTCATTTGCAATAACTTTGGAATATAGCAACTAAAGATGGGAACTGTAATTAATATGTTGCAACTTTTAATGTTGCAACTTACGTTGCAATTAGTTTTAACCTATATATGTTGCAACTTATAATGTTGCAACATATGTTGCAACTAATTTTAGCTTATGTTGCAACATTTTGTAAATTTGAAATCAATTGCTGTACCATTTTTAAACATGATTAAAGCTATTCATGAATGGGATGGTCTTAATCATATTCCATGCAATGCATATACATTGCAGCTTTATGTTATTAAAAGGTTAGAAAAAATTAAACTATATACTAAATGATTTAAGGAATTAATTCGATTTTTTAATTCTCTAAAACAAAATGAATAGTTAGAAGAAGCTCAGAAAAAAATTGCATCTAGATATGATATACAATTAGAAAATAATTCAATTTTATTTGATTTAATATCAATTGATCAACATCCATTAAAATTTTGCGAATGATTAATGATATCAAGACCCGATAAGGATCATCTTTAGCTTCTTGAAAAAGATTACAAGTATTAAAAGATCCTATTAAACGGGTTCTTTTAAATTTATGTCTAGAGAATGAATTTAAAAAAGATTATGAAAATTAAGAACGAGAATTCTTTTAGATTATGAATGGATTTTATTAAAAAATTAATTGTTCTTTTTAAACCAATTGAAGAAGCAACAGAATAGTTAGGTGGTCAAAAATATTGTACACTTTCTTTAATATATCCATCTATTTATGCATTATATTATGATTATATATCAGATATAGATGATAATATTATTAATGAAAGTGGTAAGTATAATATTTAAATAATTAAAAATAATTAAATTATATTTATTAATATTTAAATTCTTTTTTTTAGATAATGAAAATATTACTATAGATGAGAATTCTGAAGATAATGAAAGTGTGCTTGATGATAAAAAAAGTGATGATAATAATGATGAGAAACAAAATTTTCCAAATAATATAAAATGTCTTTATCAGAAATTAATAATATTATTAATTCTGTCAAAAAAGCAATATATAACGCGCTATTTGAATATTTAATTCACCACCTGAAATTGCTATACTTGCTAGCCTTTTAGATTCAAGATTTAAAAAAATGTATGGATGGCCTGAAGAAGTGTGTGAAATGGTAATATCTTCATTAAAAAGAGAATATTATTTATTAAAAAATGAAGTAACTGTTATGCCTCAAATAAATTAAGAAATAATTATACAACGAGTGGGTTTAAATCATATTTATTTGAATCATATGAAATAAATGAAAAAGATGATGAAATCAATTGCTATTTGGATAATTTTAGAACTTCACAAGCTATACCTGAAATGAATCCATTTCAATGGTGGATTGATAATAAAAAGAAATTTCCAACTTTATTTAAAATAGTTAGAAAATATTTAAGTGTATCAGCCATATCTATTCTATATAAATGGCTTTTTAGTGATGCTGAAAATCAAATTACCAAAGATCAGATCAGTTTAAAACTAGAAACTGTTAATAAATTATTGTTTGTAAAACGAAATAGTAAATATTATAATCCTTTTGTATAATTATATATTGGCAAATTAAAGAGATTTTAGTAGTTATTATAATATTTGTAATTGATAACAATTAGCTTATTGTAATTTTTTGATGCTTATATTAATATTAATAAATCAATCAATGATCGACAATTAAAATTCATTTTTAGTTTATTCTTTGATCGAACAATGCAATCGATTAAGAAATTGATCACATGTGATCAATCAAATAAATCAATTTTTAATTGATCAAGTAAGTAATAGATTAACCAAATCATTGATTATGATTTTTTTTATCAATTAAATGTCCTAATTGGATCTATTTAGTTACAAAAAATCGAATGATAGTTATTTTATGAGAAAGAAGCGATATTAATCAAGATTATACATTTTTTTGGATTTTTATATATATAAGAAATCATGTGATATGATGTCATTTTGATCATTTCAACTTTTGGATCTTCTCAAAATCGAAATGTTTTGATTCAATTCTTGCTGATGTTAGTAGTCATTTTACATAAAGTGGGTTTAGTGGAGGGTGTAATGATACCAGATTAACTCAAATGAATTTTAATATAATTACAGGAAGTAGTTAGTTTTTTATATTATGATTTTTTGATTTATTTAATTGTTTTTTGTATAAAATCTAATAAAGATTTAGTATTATTAAACTTAAAAAAAAAAATTGTTTTAACCATTTTAACTTCAATACAGATAATGTAATATTTATAAATTTATTATGTATTGGGTTAATTTAGATATGTTTAATTTAGTTTAGGGAATTATAAAGTTTTTCAATGTTTTGTTTTTTACCAATTTAAGAACTTAGAAATTTTTTTTTATATAAAAAAATTATGTCATCCCCTTAAATTTTACATAATGTTCAAAACATCCCATATATAAATTTAAATTTAAAATATTAATAAAATCATTTAATGATATAATAAATTTTAAATAATTCAAGTTTATATAAAAACATAAAACAAAAAAGTTTACAATTTTTTTAAAATTTAATTAAATGCTTGATTATGAGAAAAAAAATCCAATACCTTATATGTACTAAAAACAACATATACAATTATAATTTACTATTTTAATTAAATTATCTTATACAATTTAACAAGAAATTTATAATACACGTTGATTGTAGATATAAGTTGGAATATACCAGCAATTAATTTGGCATGTATTATAAATGTCCCTAATGAATAACGTACAAATGTATGACAATAAATATACTTCATTTTTTTAAAAAAAATAAACCAAATAGATATTAATTTAAAATAGAGAACATATTATTATTCATTAATAATAATATTCTTCATCTTCAGAAAAGAAATAAGAATAAGCAAGAACTAAAAAATAATAATAATAAATTATTAGATTGTTTTGGAATTTAGATTACGAAAATTAATTACCCACTTGTAAAATAAACCAAAAATCCTCCCGAGATACTCATTATCATCGCGGAAACCTCTATCTATAAAAAAAAAATTAAAATTATATCAACTATTAAAACAAATTTATCTAAATATCAAACAAACGAAGACTTACTACTTCAACATGAGCCAAGACTATTGGCAAACCTAAAGTCAATAATTAAAACCAATAAACAAACTAGGACATTTTAGATATCGATATTACTAAATAAAAATTTTCTGCTTACAAATTCCAGAAATAATTACGATGGATGTTAAAAATTTGCCAAAATCCTTAAATCCATTACTAAAATAAAAAATATAAATTGATTAAAATTATGAATAACAAAATTTTAAATCTTTATAAAGGAAAATTTAAAATTTCAACTTTGTTTGTCCAGAAAAATAATCTTCATTACTAGAAAATTTTGAGAAAATTACGTTTGGTAATGGAGCGATCACAAAGGTCGCAACTAATTTTTTTAAAAAGAAGGAGGTACAACAATTATATATGACGAGAATGTAGTCATAAGCAACACAAATATTAGATCTAATTGTCGGTATAGCATACCAACAAACAATGGCCACCAATTCCTAAGCAAAAAAATAAAAAATTAGATTATATAAACCAATTTCAATAAAGAATATAATATACAAAAAATTTCAAATCCCGAAATCATATATACTCATAAAGTGCTCCTGATAAAATGACGAGCAAAAATCCGCAAGCCAGAACGAAAGACAAGCCAATTATCCTATAAAATTTTTTAAAAATTCAGCAACCAAATGTTCGACAAAGAAAAAAAAAGTAATTCTATTAAAAAGAATCAGAATTTCGTTCAATGCTTACGCTAAAAATAAAAAGCAAAACTTTATTAAAAATCGTTATAATGTCATTAAAGTTATTACATAAAAGGGGATCATACTTTTTAGACCTGCCATTTTTTATTTTATTTATTTATTAATCGTCTCTTTAAGTTGTTTTTATAATGGAAAAAACTCTCCACTATATAAATATGTGAAATATTGTGTTCATAATAAATACAAATAAAAGAACTTGCCAATTTAAAAATTCACCATGCATGTCAGACAAGGTTTAACTGCATTTGTTCAATTTATCGCAATAAAAGGAAATGAGTGGCTTGTCAACCACTACAATAAAAGTCTTTTTGACTTCCCTTCCTCTCTTAACAAATAAATAAAATTTTATAAACTTGAAACTCTCTTTTTTGCACCACCTTTTTTATAACCAGAATATTATAATTTGAAACATTTAATCCCCTTCATAAAACTTAACCTTTTCACTAATTGTATGCTGTAATTATGCCTTCAGAAAAGAGAAAACGCGTTTTACCACCACTCCCTAAAGGATTAGATTTCAATACTCCACCGAAAGATAGTTTAGTTGACGATTTAAGATACGCGCTTGAACATGCGAAAGAATTATATTCTGACATAGCATGGGATTTTACTGTAGCACTAAACCAAACTAACATCTATGCACACAAAGGTATTATTTAATTTTCCACTTATATTTACTACGCCATTATTCGAGACAGAGAGCCCTGTGTGGTGGCATTATTCTCTCAGTTTTCGGAAAACTCTAAAAACAAGTAACTCCAAACTTTCAATTAAATAAATTTTTTTATATTATATCAAATTGATAAAATTTTATTTTTATTTTATTTTATTTTTTTTTTTTTTGTAAAAAAAAAAATTATATGTATTAGTAAATTTATTCTTACATTTAGACATATTTTTTCAACTTATTATTATTATTATTATTATTATTATTAATATTATTATAATGAATGAATTGTGATATTAATTTCAGCTGTCTTGTATGCTCGAAGCTCACGCTCCTTTCAAGAACGATTTTTGAAAAATAAAGATGCGAATGGGATGTCCATACGATCAGTTCGGTTATCAAATCCAGAACCCATAATTATAAAGACTGCTGAAGACCCATTCTTTTTTCGACAGGAATTAAAATTTTTTTATACCGGTGAAGAAGGCAGTGAAGAATTTTTAGCTGCTGTTGATACTACAGATGAGCTTGAACAGGATAAATTAAAAGAAGATTTATTATATATGCTTAAATCTAAATTATATACGGATGTTGAATTAGTCCTGGAACGGTCTGATGATAGCCTTGATATTATTGAAGAAGATGAAGAAGTTAAGCCTATAACAGTTCGAGCTCATAGATTTATGTTATATACAAGATCTGAATACTTCAAAAAGATGTTAAGTTCTAATTTTATTGAGGCTCGATCATCACATATTCACCTTGATAATAGCATTTTTACCCAAACATCACTCAATTTAATTTTGACATTTATTTATACTGGTAATCTTTCATCTCCTTCAAAACCTTTGACTTTGGAAACTTGTGAAAATGTTTGGATCGGGGCTGATTTTCTTGGTATAAAACTACTTTGTGATGAATGTGTATACAGAATTGCAACCTTATTACATTATTTCACTTGTACTTGCGCTGAGTGTCAAGCAGTTGTTCCAGAAGTTGCTGCTTTTGCAAAGCAATATGAAGTTGATTTATTATGGCAAGGATGTTTGCATGTATTATCGCACGGATTTGATAAAATGTGGCCTCAAAAAGCTTTCGCAGAACTTGATGAAGAAACACGAGAAGAGATTCTCTTAACAGTTCTTGCCAGAATACAAAATAATAATATTATGGCTGTTTTTAAAAGTTGTCGGAAGGTTTTATCGATGATTGAAATTAAAGGTATAGGATTGCCTTGGATAGAAATTATACGTGAAATGACACTTCAGGTTCAGTCGTATACTACTCAAATTTTGGTAGATAATTTTGAACAACTTTGCGATGAAGATCAAGAATTTCTGGATTGTGTAGACGGTATTGGTTTTAGTTCGGATTTATTAGAGGAAATGATGTATACAATAGTCGAAAATGGTTTATCCGAGCGAAATGCCGCGCGTGTATTAAAATGCATCACAGAAAAGTTATTGACTAGACAAGCAATAATGGATACGGAAAGTTTTGAAACGAAACGAGTGTTATTACAAGCAAAGCAAAATATATTTGATTATATAAAAAAACGATGGATTAGTGTGAAACAAAATGGTGGGTTTAGATTATTAAGTCCGTGGTTATTAGATGAATTCTCAAAAGGTAAGGAACTATTATTATTTGAGAAAAAATTTTATTCGTGTTAAAAATTACACTATATTAATCTTGTTCTTATAGAACTTGGTGTTACAAATCAAGAATTACAAGAACTCGAAGATCATAAAGATACGAAACCTAAGGTCAGAACGCCAAGTGTAACGAATGGTCTTTCCAAAAAGTCAAGAGAACCATCGCCTTCCCCTACACCAAAAGTGGTTAAACCAATAGTCACACCACCAGCAATTGTGACAACACCAACAACACCCCCTCATTCAAATACGTCAACAATTTTAACAAATACATCAACATTATTAACAGAAGATACAGAAACTTTAACGACAAAAGTTAGTACTATTGCTGAACCGGTTTCAAACGGAAATTGTTTAAGTCATTCATCGTCATGTTCATCATCGTCTTCCGTAAAGTCAAGTACACAATCACCTTCTTCAGCAGAATCATCATCAGATACCACTTCAAAGTTAAAAGAGACTAATAGTAATGTCACTAAAAAGGGCAAAGATGTACGAATCGGTGGAACCACAACGGGTCCTGTGTGGGCTCGTCCAACTCGTGCTAGCGTATTACGTCAAAAGGCTCTCGCAGAATCTTCCGTAAAGAATCCAGTTAAGCCAAGAACAAAATCTACATATACAAAACCCGTAACCTCTGCATATGCACAATCCAAATTAACCACATCATCAACATCTAAAACAACAAAAACGACGGCGACGACAACAACTGCACGACCCACCTCATCTGCGTCTAGTCTTAGAGTACCTAACGGCTCTTCGACTTCACAAAGAGGTCGTTCTTCTGCTAAGCAAAATTCTTCAGCTGCATCATCTCGTGCAAGTTCAATATCATCCGTGAAATCTCTAACTTCACCTTCCGGTTCACCATCAAGGTTTGGCGGTGTAAGACAAACACGTTCTAGTATGTTACGTCAGCTTAAATATGATGACGTAGAACAACGCCGTGGTCGTGACACTGAACGTGATACTTCACCAACATCATCCAGAGCTAGCTCTATTGCTTCTGTTTCATCTGTTACAAGTACTACAACAAGTTCTTCTCATCACAGGAGGAAACGTTCACCATCACAAAATTCATCATCTACTTCAATTACTTCTAATTCAAGCGCTATCACTAGTTTACAACCAAAACCTCACCAGACCAAATTAGCAACTATTCCAAATCCAGATATTTCTGTAGGAAGACGTATAATCCTTCCAACCAAAAACAATGCTCCAGGCGCTATACAATTTTTGGGAGAAACAGAATTCGCTAAAGGTATATGGGTTGGAATAGTATTAGACAATCCTGGTAAGAAAGAGGTGTATTTTAAAGATCATAAATTTATTAAAAAACTTTTTTTTATTAATCAAATTCTTTCTTTTTTAGTGGGTAAAAATAATGGTGTAGTAGCTAATACCAAATATTTTACGGCGGGTCCTAACCATGGAATATTTGTTAGACCGGATTCACTTTTATTGATATAAAGTCCGAGTAATTTAACAGTAATTAATGAGTAAATTAATTTCCCATAAATCTTCATGTAATTGTTACGAACGTTTATTTAATGCATACATTCTTTTGATTTTATCATACAATAGTGTTATTTTTTTTCCTTTTTTTTTTTTTTTTAAAAAAAAAAAAAAAAAAAAAGTGCTCCATTATATAATTCTTTAAATTTTAAATTCACTTTTTTATCAATATTTTTATTTTCTTTTAAAAAAACATTATCACATTATTTATTTTATTTTATCACATACTAATCACTTTTTTGTATTATACAGAATTTTTGTTGTCAAATTTATCAAATTTATCAATATCATTTTTTTCACTCAAAAAAAGGATGTTTAATTGAGATGAAAAAATGTGGGAAATTAATGGGAGAAATCAAAAAGAATAACAATTATTATCTAAAAAAAAAAAATAAATAAATAAAATAATAGTTCTTAGATGCGCATTTTTCCTTTAAAATGATCACGTGATTAAGAAATAATGTTACAGATGGTCCCAGAAGATAATGAATTCAATTCATCCAGTTGTTAAATATAGATATATGAATCACCATGATATATGCTAACTTTTCAAAAATAAATGTAAATTAAAATTATTTATTCTCGTTTATAAAATACCAGGAGAAAGGCCAGGAGCCGCTGATGATAATTTTGATAAGTCTTTATCCGCATTTTCTATAGCATAAGATTTCATACGAGCCTCTAATTCCGGTCTAAAATGACGAATTAACCCTTGAACTGGCCAAGCAGCAGCATCACCAAGAGCTAATTAAACGTAAATCATTAATCAAAATTCTATTAATATTAATACATGTTGACATGATACAGGTGTTAATAAACATACCACAAATAGTATGACCCTCAATTTGTTTGGTTAATTCTTCAATCATATCAATCTCCCTAGGAACAGCATATCCTTTCTCGAAACGTGACATCATATTCATAAGCCAGCCTGTCCCTTCTCTACACGGTGTACATTGACCACAACTTTCGTGTTTATAAAAGGCAGATAACCGAGAAATTGCTGATATAATATCAGTGGACTTATCCATAACAATGACAGCAGCTGTACCTAACCCAGATTTAACATCACGTAATGCATCAAAATCCATTCTAATAATGGAAATTATTTTGTAAATTTAATGAGGAAACTTATGTATGTTGTAGACTATATTATAAAGTATGCTTACAAAACGTTATCGCAAATATTTTTTGGCAAAACGGGAACAGATGAACCTCCAGGAATAATAGCAAGAAGATTATCCCATCCGCCACGTACTCCACCACAGTGACGTTCGATAAGTTCTCTAAGAGGAATACTCATTTCCTCTTACAAATTATTTTTTTTTTAAAAAAAATTAGCAATTGTGAGCGGCCCAATAGAAACATAACTTTGCTACTTTTATAATTACCCTCAACAGTGCAAGGGTGATTCACGTGACCAGAGATACAAAAGAGCTTGGTTCCACTATTCTTTTCGCGACCAAAGCTGGCGAACCATTTGCCACTTCTATTATTCAAATAAAAGTAAATTTAAAATCGTTAACAATTGAAACTTTATAAATATCTCATTGAATTTTGATATTACCGTCTACAAATAGTAGGTGCCACCGCTACAGTTTCCACATTTGCTACTGTAGTTGGGCAACCGAATAAACCTACATCAGCAGGGAACGGTGGCTTTAACCTGGGCTTGCCTTGCTTTCCTTCAAGCGATTCGATCAAGGCAGTTTCTTCACCACAAATATAAGCCCCAGCACCACGATGAATATATACATCAAAATCGAAGCCGGATCCACAAGCATTCTTGCCAATAAGTCCAGCTACATTATATGACAGAAATATTACGGTGAATATAATAAATAAAGAAGAATTCATGATGAATTAGGACAAACCTGCATAAGACTCATTTATTGCTTCTTGTAAATTAGAGGCTTCGTTATAGAATTCACCTCTTATATATATGTATGCTATTAAAATGACAATAATAAAGATTAAGTTTTTTTTAGAAATTCGTTAAATATTGTCACAATAAATTAAAATTCGTACCTGCTGATGCATTCATTGATTTACCGGCAATTAGACAACCTTCAATCAATTTATGAGGATCACCTCGCATAATCTCACGATCCTTGCATGTACCTGGCTCTCCTTCATCAGCATTAATAATCAAGTATTTCGGTCTAAAAATTAAAGTAAATATTTGAATGATCAATTTAAATCATAAAACTTTTGAAAAAACAGTTTACCTGCCATCCGGAGGTTTATTCATAAAACTCCATTTTAGACCAGATGGAAAACCGGCACCACCACGACCTCTTAAACCCGAAGTTTTGATTTCCTGTAAAATCCATTCATGACCTTTCTCAAGTATCTCTTTCGTTTTATACCAATCTCCACGCTTTAAAGCACCTTTTAGTCTAAAATCATGACGTAAATATAAATTTGTGAAAATACGATCTTGATCTTTTAGACCCCCATAAGTACGACTAACAGGTGATGAGTTTTGAATGGTGGCAAAGTTTGAAAGACCCTTAAAATTTGTACTTCGAACTAATGTAGGTCGAAGACAGGTAGTTTGGAATGCTAAACAAATATTCAAGTAAATGATTTGTAATATTATATGTTAAAATTCAGATTTAATAGATCTCGGAATAGAGAACGCTAAATTATGTACTTTTATTTATGAGAAACCTTTTCAACATTTTAAAATTCGCTGATAATGAAAATAATTAAAAATGAATCATCTTCGAATCAGTATTAATAAATTTGAAAAAATGGTTTTTTTTTGGTTCCAAAAAAATATATCTGTAATTAGATCAACAAATAAGATCGACCGATAAATTTGAAGCATATATGGGGCCTTTGCAATAGAAAGGGGGGAAACTGCCGGGAAAAAGTAATTTTACTTTATATGCCAAATATGATTTTTATGCTGAAATATGTTTAAATTTAGCATTAACTCATTTTTGATTTTTCCGGCTGTTTCCCCCCTTTCTATTGCAAAGGCCCCATATGCTCATTCACGTGAAAAATGTTAAATATTTCAATTTCAAATTTTAATTTTGATATTTTTTAATAGATATAATTTAGCAACAACATTTAAATTAAGAATCTAATTTTTAATTTGTCAATCTAATTTGTACTTTGAAATATTAAAGGTTAGATTTTATGAAATAAATTAAAAAAGAAATACAGTAATTATAACCTAATTTACAGCAATTTACATATTAATTTGTTTTAAAATAAAAGGTCATGATAAAGTCAAACAAGCTTGTCCAACTACAAGTGTTCCAGGTGGAGTGTGTCCTTCCATCTCCATTATGTCAGCAATAGTACTCAAAGTTCCTCTTATTTCTCTTTGATCCGTGCAACTCGCTCTTTCTATAACGACACAGGGACAATCCGAAGGATAATTACCTTCGTTTATAAGTTCTTTTGTTATGTCTTTTATTCTATGACAAGCCATTAAAAACACTGTTGTACGAGCCGGATGATAAGTTGGAATTTCAGGTAAAGTATTCTTTTTACCGGTTCCCGTGCAAACAAGGAATTGTGATGCGACTCCACGATGTGTAACAGGAATATTTGCTAATAAGGGAGCAGACATACAAGAGGAAATACCGGGAATTACTTGTGGAACATAACCATGAGATCGGAAAAATAGAAATTCTTCTCCACCTCGGCCAAATAAGAATGGATCTAAAAATATAAGAACTTATTTTAATTTTTTTTTTTTTTTTTTTTGAAAAAATTAAATATTTCGTGTAATTTATATTACTAACCACCCTGTTTTAATCTGACGACGACTTTGCCTTGATTTAAAGCATCAAGGGCTACTCGATTAAGTTCAGCTTGAGCAGCTTCAACGTTAGCACAAAATTTCTTCGCGGCAACAAAAATTTCAGTATTATGTGGAATTAATTTTAATACTTCTTTGGGTACAAGTTTATCAGATAATATTAAATCGGCTTCTTGAATTGCTTGGTACGCAGCGCGCGTCAATAAGTTTGGATCACCAGGTCCGGCACCAACGAGTTGGATCCTTCCACCATTATTATTCTTGTGTGACCTGTGTATATCAGAACATCTAGTCACGTGATTTTGATATTGTGGATTATTAATCACTTTATGCATAAGATGATCTTTCAAGAATTCTGCTAAATCGTCCAATTTTAATTCTTCTGCAACGTTGAGAAAATTAATAATTTCATTGTTGGTAGCAGTCTCGGTAGAAATTCTACCAGTGTACATATATCTGAAAGTACGTTGTAAAAAGGTTAGACAAATTTGCCGTAATATATATATACAATATATTCTTATACTTACTTCAATATTACTTCAAATACGGGAGGAGAAATATTTGGCATTTCTAAATAAATACATTCTCCATCTTTAATAAACATATTCTTTTTTAAGATATTTTTAAAATATGGAGAAACAGCTTTCAAAATAATAGAGTGAGCTTTAAAACTCTTTATCCCCGTTGATGATTCATCGCCAACACGAATAGTCGTATTAAATTCATCATCGTCAAGTAATTGTTCGATTTTTAAAGAAAATTTAGATAATAACCTATTAGTTGTCATGATTATTAGATTTAAAAATATTTTTTTTGTTAAGTGCCAAGGAAAAAAAATATTCTGGTGAGGGTTGACTTTTGGTCTTTTTTAAGTGTAATTTATATTTTACCCCTTTATAGATAAATATTCGGAATATGATAAACTTTGAGTGATTATCGTTTTATTTCGTGTAATTCCGTTATCATTATCAGAATTCATTTTTTTTATATAATCAATCAATTGTTTTATTTATTTTTTTTTATTCAATCGACATCTGATAGACATTGTTTTGCTTAACTAATATACCAAATAAATAAGTGATACCATAAAAAGAAAAAATTTTAATAACGGCGGAATTCTTTTTATCTTATCTACTTTTACGTTTTATCAGATCGATTTACTGCAAAGATAATGTATCGGAACAACAAAAAGAAACAATTACGATAAGATCATGAACGATTGTGAAAAATAATGATGGATAATGAAATTGTTTTTTAAAAAATATTTGGAAAATCAATGTTCTTTGAAAATCATAGAACAATCTATCTTTATATCAGATTCTCAATTGGACCAATCATAGCCATATACATTATCCTCATTCGTGTGACCAATCATTCTTAGCATTCACTCACCAACTTGCTTTTTTTTTATTCACAAATTTTCTTTAATTTTAAAATCATGACAAAAGACAAAGATATTTCAAAAAAATTTGAACAATATGAAAATTTTCTTCACAATAAACTTGAAGTAGATTTAAAACAAACATGGGATTTACGAGATAAAATTTATGAAGAAATTTCCGACTAGTAATATTTCTCGATTCCTTTTTTTAAAAATATTTAACTGTTCTCTATAATATAAACTTTTTATTTATTTGTTATATAAACTGTTTTCTTTCTCATTATTAAGCATTAAACTAAAAAATCATATTGAATTAATAAAATCAAATAATCTAAAAGAATTAAAAACGATGGTTGATTTAGGATCGAACTTTTATTGCCAAGCTAAAGTGTAAGTAATAAAGTGTAAATTGACATTCTGCTTTTACCTTTAAATCTTTTTTTTTTAATTCTTTTTGCTTTATACATTTGTAGACCTGATACGACATATATTTATGTTAATGTAGGATTTGGATTTCATGTCCAATTTACATTGGATGAGGCTATCGGATTTATCGAGAAAAAAGAAAAATTATTACAAAAGTAAATTAAGAATGGTATAATGTAATTTCTTTTTGAGGGTCTAATTAATTCTTGCTTTATCCATTTAGGAAATCTGATCAGTATACCCGAGACGTTGCAAAAATAAATGCACACATCAAATTGGTATATGAAGCTTTAACAGAAATTTTAAATTTGCAGAAAGGTGAAGAAACTACGTTGAAAGATGATTTATATATTTAAGGTAAATTGCTACCGATTAATCATCGGTTTACCCGATAAGTATTTATTCAGTTGTCATCAGATTATTAAATGTTACAATAAAAGTCATTATTAATGAGCTTTCTTTCCCAAAATAAATCATTTCCGCAGAAGGTTCCTTGTTCTGTAAAATAAAACCGGATTTTTTTTTCAAAATCTTCAAATTCACATGCGTGGGGCTTTTTTTTTTTTTTTTTTTTAAAAAAAAAAAAGTCATCCACTTATAAATAAGTATAGTCTATATTATTATATAATACAAGATTTTTTTTAAAAAAAAAATCTGAGGTATTTATTTTTTTAAATTGTTTATCAATCATGAGCCAAAGAAATAAAAGTCGTAATCGTAATCGTAGTTCAAATTCTACGAGAGAATCTTTATCTCATCCATATTGGCATGCGGCAGCATATTATTTTATGGAAGCATTACGTGTTTCCACATCGACATCAATGTCGACACCTCAAATGTCTTCAATATTATTGCCATTTTCTCCTCCATCTGTCTTCTTAAATAATTCACAAAATCCTTCATCTCCTTTTCAACAAACACCTCAAAATCCATATCCAATTGAAACTCGTGATAATTCAATAAATAATCTCGCTAATATTTTTAGAACCGTCGCTTTGGAATATGAGAATGTAGAATATCATACATTAAATTCGTTATCTTCTACATCATTACGCCAAACATTATTTAATTCGACTCATCAAAGTACCGCCGATAATCAATCATCTGATGATAGAAATCAAATTATCTCCGCTTCACACGGCGCGTCAATGGTTCATCCTTTCACATCCCTTAATTTTACTCTGGATTCATTTCCATATACGTTATCAACGTTGGAAAGGTATGAGATTCAAATTCGTTTACAAGGTAAAATAACACCGACGAATATAATCTCATCACGCTTATTAAATAATATGATCATATATTGTAAAGATAGTCATAAATCATGTATAAATTCTCAAAGTAATATCTATTGTAAAAAAGGGAATAACGTTTATCATTATCATAATTTGAGTAATGCTAGCTTTTACTCTAAAAGGGAAGATGGTTCTTCTATTTATGTTGACCGATTTGGTGATATTACTTATAAAACTAAAGAACAAGAAAGATTTGATATTAGTGGTTTAATTTGTCTATAAAGGGAAAAGAGTATGCTTTATAAATTCGATTTTCATGTAATACAATAAAATTAATAAATTTGTTTTTTTTTGTTTAAAAGTTTTTTGCTTGCAGTATCGCGTAATTGAACAATTCAATTATAACATTCAGGTTTGCCGAAGAGTTATGATTAATTATGGTCATCCTTCATTGTGTGATATATTAACCTACTCAAATTACAATTTACTTCAACTTGTTCAAAACCATTTATAATGATTATAGTTCTTAAATAAGTATAGGAAAGCATAAGTTCCTTGATTATAAGTGTAACGCGATTGATTTTGTGTAACATATTTTTTAGTTGACCAATTGACTTTCATACATGACAATTAAAAAAAATTTTATCTGTTTTTTATCTTTATTTTCGTCATTTGGGCTTCATTAATAGACACACCGACATACTTAGTCATTTATTATGTATGATGATGCGCTTCTATTGACAAAGCCCATTTGATTCATATGTATTTGAATAACGTGTTATTATGAGTACCGAAATATCTGATCTTATTTGAGTTGTGGTTTTCTGTATTGTTATCGAGGAATCTTGGTTGAATCGTTGATGTCATTCATCATTGACATCCTTGGCTCACTGGAAAGAACTTGACAATTGTTAGGCCGTGCGATTTTTTTTACGAAGCAGTAAATATAGATAAAGATACATTTTGCTGATATGATGCTTTTTTTTTATTTTGCAAAGTGAGGAGATGGTAAGGGAAGGGTCAGAAATGGCGTCATTTAAAATTATCAGAATCTCCCCTCCCTTTTCATAAATTCCAATTTAGAAAGAAGTTAGATTCTCGGTTGATTTATTCGACAAACTTACTAGTTAATTATATATGAATTCAGTTAAGCAATGATTAATGTTAATATAATATCGTTTTAACAAGTATGAAAATATTTATTGCATTGATTAATTAAAAAAAATGAATTTTATAGAGATTATTCTTGATCTTTACTAAAATAATAATTTAACTTACCATTCCATTGATACTTTACAATATATATTTTTTTCTCACTTGATATTTGAATATTTTAAATATTCCTAATCTTTTGAATCCGTATCAGATATAAAAACTTTGAAGGATTTTATAGAACCATCAGCTGACTATTATTAATATTCGTGAAATTCGTCATGATCTTTTCTAACGTGTCACCTCAATTCTTCCCATCTGTCATAAGACATTTCACAATTTTTATTTAGACAATTAAACTTCTACATTAATGGTGAAGCGGAATGTAATCTATATGCTATTATTATTAATAATATAACAATCACAAATGCCTTCATCAACACAGCATAATATTATATTATCTCCTTATGCATCCATCCAACTTTATTTAATTAAAGTCTACTATATTTTAAATGTAAGATATTCCTAGTTTTTCTGTCATACTTTGGTATTTTTCTGTCATGGTCATATAATCATTATATAATGCGTATAATAGGCTAAAGTATAATTATAAATATTATCAATGATTTTAATTTAGGTATAAATGATAATACAAATATTATATAGTATTATAAAAGAAATGCTATAATGATTTATTAATGATTATATTAAAAATCATTAACAATGCATATTATAACTAGTTTTATAATATATTTATCAATCATATTATTAAATTTAAATCATCTTTGATTTATATATTGTTAATACATACAATGAGCTCTAACCTTATCTGTAAATGGTATTGATAAATTTACTTGATTTGCTACATTTTTATGAGTTTGATAAGATTATTTATTATATAATCTAATACTTTAATATCTTTAAGAGTCTAAAGTTATCAAATGTTAGATCAGATAAATGTATAACTTCAAAATGAAAATGTAACAAGAGTATCTTTTAATAAAAATTTGATTATGTTGATGATTTTATTATTAAGAAATATAGAATCTTTATTAATAACTAAAAGTTGAGTAAAAAACCATGTCTTTAATAAGTATAATTATAATAAAATGCTAATTCATTGATAATAAATTAGAACAGAAATTAAAAAGTAAAAATGTAAGTAATATGATTATTATGAATCTATAACTACATTAATAAAAATGAGTTATCTATAAACTTTGATATACTCTTCAGTAAAATAATTAAGTTTATTATTAAGTTAGAATTTATATTAATGTAATCTATAATATGATAGTATTTTCTTATTATTAGTGATAAATTATATAATTTATTAGAATTGTTGACATTATTAGCTAATTCATATCTAAAAAAAATAATAATTGGATTAAAAGAATAAGAATTGGGTTAGAAATTAATAAATAACTGTAATTATGATGCATTATCATCAATAGAAGATAAATATTTATAAGTTTTATCTTAATATTGATATATGTAATAGTTAACAGCTTTAATCGCCAGAGGTTCTTTGATATAATTATCAAATAACCTCTGGCGACATGGGTTAAGTTATGATAGTGATGACATAATCTAATGGTGATATAATCTAAATAGTGATAGTATAATTTAATGGTGGTGGTATGATCTAACAGAAATGGTATAATCTAATATCGTAATCTAGTCTAGGTGATCAAAGGTTTCGTTTAATGAATTACAGTAATAACGCTTTTAGGTTGAGTTATATATGTCAGGAGAAATAAGTTTGAGAAATTCTAGGGTAGGTAGTTGTTCAAGGAGGAGTTAGTATTTTCGTTTGTGATAATAAGATTCTTTGTAAGAAGTTGTACTATTAGGAGCATAATTAATTAGATTAAAAGTGTACAGCCAATTTACTGACTTGCTTTTATAAATGTTGTTTCTTTGGAGGTTGTAAAAGTTAGTAAAAGATTTGGAATTAATATAATCTTTGAAAAATAGTTGAATTTCTTTAACAATAGGATTTGATTGGAAAGTTAGAATGAATGAGAGAAAAAGGACATAAGAAAAGAAAAGAGAAATAGGAGGATCATGAAGAGTGGATTTAGCTAAATTGTCGACTTTTTTGTTGTAAGGATTACCAAAATGTGCTTTAACTTTGATCAAGGATAATGTGATTTGTTTTGCTCAAGTAGTTTGAATATAAAAACCAGTATATGTAGAAAGAAGTTTTGAATAAAAGGGATGCATAAAAATAAACATTATTTTGTACTAGTCTATTGTAAGAAAGAATCATAGATAAACTTTCTGTATTAACTTTAACTGTAGAACTGAAAGGACAAACAAAGAGAGTCATAAGAAAAGCAAAAATTTCAGCGTTAGTAGAGTTAGCCCAAAGAAAAATCAAAGCAGCAGCAAAACTAATATCTAAAGTATCATGAACTAAAATAAAAGCAGAACTAAGAAAAGTATTTAAAGGAGATGAAAAAAATTGATAAGAACTATCAGTATAAAATTCTAAATTATCTTCATTAAATAAACTCTATGATTATTAAGGTAGTTATGCTTTTGTTAGAAATATATAAACTTTTTATGGTTAATATATTGTTATTGGGATTAATGTAATTAGGTAAAATGTTTGGAATAGAAATAGAATGTATTATGCGAAATCTAGCAACAGCTTAATCCATTAGAGGCCAAAGTGATCTTTTGGAAACATGTAGATTTTTTGCATTGCTTCAAACTAAAGGGAAAATAAAAATCAGATTAGAAAGTAATGGACTAATAAAAGCAGTGCAAGACAGTTTTCTAAACTTTAGTTTAATTTTGTACTTTTTTCGATTCTTATTAAAAGAGCAACCAGAACACAGTACTAAAACATTGTTCCTTTTAAATGAAAAACAGGATCATTAGTTGGGTTAATTAAAATAAAGTGTTGAAAAAGACAAGGTGGAGCTGGTGAATTCAGTTTGAATACTTTTTCAAATATCGAAGAACCTGGAATAGAAAAATTGTATATATTGTACTCAGGTGGTGTCCAAATATTAGCCCATCTGGTATTATATCTGAAATCCTCAATTGATGTAGTAGTAGAATAATCATCAAAAACTTGGGATTCAAAACAAAACTCTGGCCAGAGACGGTTAAAGTGGACTGAGTTAGATAAGACTATCTTTTGTAATGACTTGAACTATCATAAAGCAACTCCATTGAAGTTAGCTGAAGAGAAAGACAGTAATTGAATGTTATGGTAATTAAGTAAGAAATTGCCAGAAGCAACTATTTGGGACAAAAAGAAAATATTTTTCGATCTGATATTTTTTATGTCATTGGTGTTCTATGATATAATCGTCTGGAGAGGAACTAATCCTTCTGTAACTCGAAAAAGATCAACTATTCTTGGGGAATTAATAAAGGAGAGATTAGAGTCATAGTAAGTAGTGATAAAATTAGAGAGGAAATTTTTATGTCTGTAATGCTTGAGTGATTTAGGCCAATAAACCAACGGATTATTATATAGCCAAAAATTGTGTTGCAATTGTTTAAGTCTTATAAGTATAGATAATCCTAAAATCGTATCATCGGGATGAGAGTTAATGATGTTAATGAATTGTTGGAATTTGGAAGGTAATGAAATGAATAATAGATCATCAAAACCGTAAGCAAGTTTGTTGTAAATGATTGAATTTGATGTGTTATGTCTAAGTCCTAATTTATTTTAATAAGCATCCTCATAGGCTTGTATAAGAGATCACATTTGAGTTCAGAAAGAATAGTGAGTTTAGATCTATATTTCAGTTGAGGTATAAGAACCATATTATTCAAATATCGTAGTTGTTTGTCAGTTAGAAATTAGAATTTAAGTCTATCTCTAAAAGAGGCAATTTCAGAAGAAATTTGGTGTTTGATAAAGTTTTTATTATATTGAGCAGATATCCAAACCTTCAAATATCTGGTTGAGTCTTTAGGAAAAATAGTCTGATATTCGAATGAGGTATTATTTGAAGAACATCAAAATATTATTGATTCAGTGTTATCATGATCTGTGATAAGATAAGATTTATCAAAACTGACTTTCATAGAGTTCAGCTTGTAAAAGGTCTGAGCGATGTTTAGAATACTAGTCATTTGGTCATAACTATCAGTGATCCAAA